TATCATTTGTATAAATCAACTGTATAGATAAAACAATATAAATAATTGTATATAATTCATTACTTTTAGAAATTACTTTTAGAAATTACTTTTAGAAATAATTGCAAATAATGACAAACTTAGGAATAATAATTAATTTGATAACATATATTGATTTCTGATATTATAGAAACTACTATATATGAAAATAAAATTTAACAATAAATACAAAAGTAATATAAGCAGTCTAATAGATTAAAAATGTTCAATATAAGTATATTAAATTAAAGATGTGATAATATCAACTGGTGTATTTCAGCTGCTAAAATATCTTTATTAAGTTTTTTCGTTAAATAATTTTATATATGAGTTATAGTAAAAACACAACATTCAATAATTGCACGTACTATAAATATATATTAAATTTACATATATTGCAAACACAAAAACTGATTTTCCTTTTAGAGACATAGTTGACATAAACATCATTCTATCCTTCTTGGTTTTCAATGAATAACAAAGATAAAATGATATTTGTATCAAATGTGACTTCTAAAAAGAAAACAATCAAAGTCTAGACAAAAATAAATAATAGCAATACCGATAAAAATAAATAATAGCAAAATACCAGATTATTCAAAATACAGAAATGAATAATAATAAATAAAGTACTATTCTACGAGTCACTCGAAACTTTTCCTGAAATTTATTGTGTGATCAGAAATTTTTGTCAACTAAATTACAAGATAGATACAAAGCGACATAACCTATTAAACTTACTGCATTTTGTTGACACCATTAATATTTCTGGCTGAAACAACAACATATATATTTATTTCTGTTTCGAATATTTCCTCTATTATGCATAGACGTTACGATAACTTTGTTATGATAACTTTAATAACGTTTTTCACTGCAAACTAGTGCAATATTGGTGCAACTAAGTGCAAATCGGTTTACATATTTTTAATCTTAATAAATAATTTGATTCTTTTAAAGTCATTGTGACAATAAAGAATATGTAATTAAACAGGTTAATTTTATTAACACTGAAAATACGTGAATTAATTTGCATTCAATTACACTCAGTGCGTACCAGTGCTGCACCAATTCTTCTAATGAAAAAACGCTAAAGCTGCATTTTCATGCTGACACTCAATGCTCAATTCAAGCGTCAAAATAGGTCACGTGATCAAAATTGACGAATACTAAGCATCAATTTTGACACGTGATCTGTTTTGACACTAAAAATGAGCGTCGAGCATGAAAAAGCAACTTAATAGTCGCAACGAACAGACTTAATGGCAAGTGCACACATAGCATTGTCAGCTGGATCACGTTCGACGCAACAATTGGTTGGCACAATTGGAAGAACTGGAAACTCGGCGCGTCCACCAATCAGACGTAAAATACCGAAATGGTCACGACATGCGCCATAACATCGAACATCTCGACGAACTACTTGTGCTGCGGTCGAGATATCTCGTAGCAGACGACGCGCCGCGCGGATCGACTTGACAGCTCACTCCGTATTTTCACGTGTCCCATCGCGCATCGCGTTGCGTAACTGGAGTCCGACTTCCAGGGAGGAGCTCCCTTTTTGCGGTGAGTAAGGAACATTTGCGTTACATTGGCGACAAGGATATCATTTTTATTGTCGTCATCATCGGTTGCGACGATCGACCGATCGACGAACGACAGACAGCTGATTGAATGCGACGTGCAGACGCAAGCAGGAACGCAGGCTGTTTTGACATCGCCACGGGTAGCCGTTTGCAGTCGTTTATCGATGGCCAATTGGCCCTGCCAGATACTTTTTTTCCCAGCCAATCGTAGCCGTTCGCCGCGATTGGGACCGGAAATCTGGCGCAATCTGTTAAAACACGATAAAAAAGCGCTGTCTTTTTCGCCTTCGCTCCCAATGTCGTCGTTTTGTCGTATTTCAACGCGACGCAATCAGACGCAATGCGACGCAGCGAAATGGAACTGGAAATGACACAATGAGAATCGTCGTGATTTGCGTCTCACATTTTAATATTTAAACGCCATTTTCGAACGACGCAATATCTCGATCGGTTATGAACGTATATACACATATCGTATATACATATTTACGATCCGATCGGACCTTGAAATGCGTGAGCGTATGTTTGCGCAAAAGCGGCAGTACGACTCATAAAACCGGTCATCAACGAGACGACAGATAAGATACTTTTATCGTTCGAGACACGAGCACAAAGCGATTGCCGAAAAATCAATGTTTCTTCCACCAGTGCGGTGGAATTAGGAATTCGCGTTATCTCGAGAACTCATGTCGGATAAACAGAGAAGTCTCAGATGGATACGCGCTTCCTTCCAGTCGGTTTTACTTCATCGTAAAGGTGAACGATGACAAAATTGTTTCGTGCGAACGTCATCAATTTCCGGCGATAACGCGCACGTCAGAATAAATACATAAGCGCGAGTTACATAAATGGCACGCGCGCGCGAAAGGTACATCAGCGTCGCACGTGCATTACGCACGTATCATTTTGTTTCTTTTTTCTTTTTTAAATGGAGAATTCGATCGATCGATTACGCGAATGGTCTGCGATACGGAATTTCAGTTATTTCGGGAAAGCGGATTTTACGTAAGCGCACACGACGACCACCAATGGACAGGTTCTCGCTGGCCGCCAGTAAAAATGTAAATTTAAAAAACAGCCAGGCAAGATGGCGGTTCGCGCGCCACGCGGTCGCGGCGCAGGAGCGGCCAGACAGTGTCCCTGGACCCTGGATCGAGAAGAGAATCCTACGCATGCGCGCGACAAGGGGCTGATGTCTTCTTCGTATCCTCCCCGTCGCGGGGGAGAAGTAACTTTTAATCGTTTATTCGGTTTATTTTAAAATTTTCTGATTCCTCGATGCGGCCATATTGGTCAGTGACGTCAGAAACGAGAAATCATGTGAATTTTTTTCCTTGCACTATATGTACGTCGTAATAAATTAGTTCCTCGCTCACAATATGTCATTCGTGTTCGATAGTCATATTGGCTGGGGTGTCCCCGACGTATCGTGATCGAACAGAAAGTGAAATTTAATCAAAAAGTTTAACTGTAAATGGAATGAGTAGAGTAAAAAAGTTTATATGCGACACTACGTTCTCGTGAAACATGATTTTGAAAATTAATGATATATTAAGTTTCTGAAATATTTCATATATTTTGTTGAAAAATAGGATTCTTAATATTTACATATATTTCGTTCAGTAATTTAAATGATATTAAATTTTGAATTGTTTTATGTAGAGAAAGAGAGAGAGAGAGAGAGAGAGAGAGAGAGAGAGAGAGAGAGAGAGACGTTTTATATTTTTTATATTAATTTTGTGGTAATTTTTAAATTTTGTATTAATACTTAATTTTTTATTAATTTTGTATTAATACTGACGCATAATATAAATGAGTTAAAAAATTAATAAATATGTAATTAATTTTCTAATTTTTATTCATTTTTTTTCAAAAATGAAAACTCGTATAAAAAACTTTCTTCTCCATATTTTCTATTCATTTCATCATCTTCTTTTACGATCAGTTCAGAAATATCCAACAGGACAAGTAAAATAATTCCATATGCATAATCAGTAATTTATTGACTCGCTCTGACAAATCGATTAACTTTTTTACGTGTGCCATAAAACTTACACTTAATGTAACACGTAATATTTCATCAGCTCAAGAAAGTAAGAGAAGGACGGAAAAAAGATGTAGGTAGAACATGGAAGTCAATCATCTCAAGGATATGTTATTATGATTTTATTTGTCACAAGTTCATTCATTAGTGACAAACAAAATTATTATGTTTTTCTATGATGGTATTATGATGATACTTTCCATGTGACATTGTTCTATCTTTGTTACTTACTGAACTTCAAGAAAGATAAAATAATGCTTGTATCTAACTAAGCAGGAAGTACCTGATATTATTATGACACAATTTAACATCTTCTAGGCTTGTACTTTTTCCATATCTCAAAATTGAACTTCTTGTTGAATGGTTCACCTTTTTTCTTTTCCTTTTCACATTAAAAAGAAAAAGACAAAGATGAACTCTACAGAAGAGAAATTCAGTCTTAGGGTATAGAAAAAGAATAGGCTTTCTGTGTTCTACCTAGGGAGCGTGAATTTATTGTATCTCTTTCCTAGGACCCTAATTTTATCATTTTTAACGATAGTTGGTATCATTATATTCCTGTTGCGTAATTTTTCACCACACATAATGCGTAATATAACGCACGTGATACTATTAATAATGTTATTAAAATTAGTCGAAATAAATAAAAAATAATGTAATATGAATGTCATGTAATTTTGCATTCAATAATATAAAGATATATTAGAAAAAAATAGTGCCGTCAGCAAAATTGTTATTTTTAAACGAATATTTTGTCTATGTAAACAATAAATGTTACTTCTGTCAATATAAGTTTCAGTTTTGTAAATAAATATTTGTTTATTGTTAACTAAACAATAAGTTCACTAAAATAAGTCACAAAAAAACAAATTCTTATTTATCAATACGACGAAGTAAAATTTTATTCTTAGCAGATAAATGATTAGTTGTTTTATTTTTTCACAAAATTATGAAATGTATATTTCATGGAAATATATTTTAACATCGCAGTCAATTTTTTTTACATATTTTTTAATAATATATAAACATAAATCAACATATATCAAACATATATCAAAGAAAATGTCACATATGATATTTATTTGTGAATTTGCCTTTTTCTCTCAATGTAGCTTAAACTGTATTGAATAAAAATATTTATTTATACCAACTAAACTGTTTAATTAGTAAAAAAAAATTTTTATTATCTATAAGGCTGAAAAATATAGCAGAAGTAATTAAGTTCGTTGTTTGGCAAACAAAATATTTGATTTGTGTCATTAAAAAATGTTTCAATGAGTTTCGTTGAAGACACTTACATTTTTTTTCTTAGTATAATATAACATCATAATATTACATAACAATTACACTGTTGAATGCAAAATTATAAAATTATAACACTATTACGTCACTTTTAATAAACTTTAGTCGATTGAGGAATTACAGGATCAGGGTAATAATGCGTTTAGAAATTTCATCCAGGTATCATTTTTTATTCTTGTATAACATTTTATGAATAACAAAGATAAAATGCTATATCCTGAATTCTTGAACGCACTTCTAAGAAATAAAATGCGATAAATTTTCATTGAGGCCCCAATGAGGCGCCTCAGCGTAGCGCCCATCCAAGTACAGCCCTGACGCAGATAATCAACGGTGATTGGTGCGCGCGACAGGGCACCGTGCGGCGACGGTAGCGGCAGCGGGAGGAGGGAGGAAAAAGTGAGGTGCTTCTCCCTCGCGTAGACTGGCGACAGGTTTCCGAACGCAGCGTGTAGCGTGTACGGGCTTCCGCCTGGCTGTGGCTGGCTGGTCCCGCTGATCGTGTGCGCGCGCGCGTGTACCGTGTGCGTGTCTGCTGGTGTCTGCATGCCTGCCTCGTTATCTCGCTTTGGCTGTGCGTGCTGGCATTGCTGGTTTGGCTCGGCTGGCTCGTTGGCGTGTGTGACATTGGTGACGGGGGCGGAGCGTTCTGCGGCCACCCAGTCCTAACCAACCCGTGGCTCGACCATCGACATTCCGTCGACTCTGCTACAGTGCGCGTTTCGTCTCGATCGCGTTCGGCGTGAAACGTTTTCCCCTCGTTGCTCGTCTAGCGACGAGTGTGTGTGTGCGTGTGTGCGTGTGTGTGTGTGTGTGTGTGAGTGTGTGCTTGCACAGTGTGTATGCGTACGTGCGTACGTACGTCCGTGTATGTGCGTTACAGTGCGTTATACCACACGGTTCCCCTGTGCGCCGTGGCGCGGACTCGCGGACAGCCACGAACGCTCTCTCATTCCTTCGCCTCGCTCGGCTGTTCTGGGCTGTTCTCCGAGCCCAGTGTCCGGGTCTTCCGCGTGCCTGTGCGCTACGTTCGGTGTGTGAAACGATAAAACGAAGGAAACATCTCGTCTTGTTTCGTCTCGTCTCGTCGCGTTTAATCACGTACCAGCAGGCCGAGAGTGAGAATATCTGAGCTAAGAGGATCGCGAAATATCGTCATCGTCTCGTCATCGTCGCCGCGATGCCTTGGGCGTGTTTCTCCCGCATTCAGGTAAATAGCAAAACACTCGATTCGCAAGTGTACTGTTTTCGAATTGAGTTCCTTGCCGAGAGGCATCAGTGCGTGGGGTGAACGGAGAGAGAAGCGGGTGGGAGAAAGAGCAAAGAGACGACGGACGTAGGTACATACGGTGACGAGAGGGATGGGCAAGGTGGGGTTGGGGGAAGAGGGAGGGGTTAGAGGGAGAGGAGGGAGAAACGGGAAAGAGAAGAGGAGCTCTACGGATAAGGGCGCCGCAGAGACGGAAGGAGGAGAGAGAGGGCTTCTCTTTTTTGGAGGATTTCAACCTGAGGTCACGCACGGCGGAGCGAGTGAGGCCGAACGCGTGCGGGTCAGAGTAGGACGAGGAAGAGTGGAAACCCGTCCTCCATTGCTCGATCGTGAGAGAGCAAATGGTGGCTCGTTCCACGAGTCTCTTTGTTACGTTACAAATACGAGTTTCGAGGAACGAGAGCCCCTCTGCAACAAAGCGTTATTCCGCCGTTACCGCCGCTGGCTGTCTTCGTACTCGCGAGTCGCGTCTTTGTCGCGACTGAGTATTCTGAGTAATCCGTCAGGCTCGCCGTCGAGATAGGGAGAAGGGGCCCCCCCCCGTCATGATGTCAACGGCACAATTTCGCGTCAGTCAGTGATACCGAACGAACGGACAGATAGACAAACTCAGATAAGATCAAACCAGACTAGTCAGTAATCGGTCGACCAACCAACCAGTTAGTTTAGTGGCTAGGCCAGCAAGCGAGCCAGCGAGCAAAGTAGCAGTTGTAGTGTTTGTTATGATTCTCGGTTCGTTACTATCTTCTTTGCTGCCGCGTGGGGGGAAACGTTAATTGCGTATCGCGCCTCGCAGCAGTTTTATTTAGTCACGCTCTTGTTATCCGAGCGCATATGGCTCGAGCTGAGGCACCAATCCTTTAATTTTCTCTCTCTTTTCCCCCCTTTTCTCTCTCTCTCTCTCTTTCTCTTTGTTTCCCTCTTCTTGGAAATCGGGCTGTCGATATCGCTGTTGCTATTCAGTTCGTGGCGTTGCAGCGAACGCCGAGGTCGGCGATGAATCCGCGAGGTCGCGTTTAAGGAGCATGAGGTATTTAAATTTTTTTTTTTAATGCGCTCGATTAAAAATCCACGATTCTAATTTTAATGATAACCGTACTGATCGTCACGCGATAAAACGACTTGTCTCATTCCGCGTGTCTGTCTGTGCCGTCTGTGATTTTCGGGAATGAGTGATAATCGAAAGTAAACGAATACAACGGGCGTCTGTTAATGTTTTTCTTCAACAAAGGGGGGCAGACCGTGACGAGAAGTCTCGCGTCCGCGACATATTCGATTTGATTCGTACATCTGATTTTTTGGTCTTTCTCTAGCGAGTGCCCAACTCTATCATTCATTGTGTGTCGCTTTCGTTGTTACGCATCGTACTTGTGAATAAGAGTGGTAACTTGCAAGTAGTTTGACTTGGCACTTAGTCATCTTGAAAGATACAAACTTTTTTTCTTTTTTTTTTCTTCCGTAAGGAATAGGATTTTCGTTCATTTACAGAAGCCATTTTATCCATTAATTTTGCATGTGTATATAGGTTTGTTCGCGTTACTTAAAATCCCCTAAAAAATTTATACTTAAAAATAAACGTATTTCGGATGTTGAAAAGGTAGAAAGCGAAAATACTGAGTGCAAAATATGCAAGCAGATCATATGATATTAAATCTATCAAAATTTTCAAAAGATTCTTTTTTGCCCAAAGTTATTCTTAAGAATAATGTATGTTTGAACTTTTTATTACGTATTCTTATGTATTCTTATGGAAAAGTAATTTATGGGGGTTTTTTTATTTATGCCCATTTCTTCCAATGTAGATTAACTTTAATCTGATTCAATTTATTCTTCTTTTTTAATTCTAGGAAAAGATGAAGAGTTAGACTAAGATAAAATTTAAACTATCTACATTAGTCATACAAGTCATATAAGTCCACACAAATATCGTTTTATCTTTGTTATTTATGGAATATTGAAAAAGAATAGAACGATGTTTTTGTCAACATATTTCACAAGTATCTTTATGAATACTTTTCAACAAGTGATACAGATGATATGATGTAGCACAGTGAATTATTTCATCTTATTTGATATTGATAAATAACAAATGTAAAGATTTACTGTTCTTTTTATTTAGTGACACAAATGCCATTTTATCTTTCTTGGCATCAAGTAAAAAAAAAATATGTGTTATCTGTCTCTTATTGAAAAGTGTTTTATGTTCTAAACAGTGCAGTTATAAATGCTTGTAAATACAGATAAGACAATCACCATATTTAGATATGTAATTAATAGTGTGCTGTGGTTTCTCTTTTACAGACAGAATAGTGGCATGAGTCGATTAATCTATGGCAGATCAACAAGATCAGTTGTCATCAGGGGGGTCTGTAGAGAAGGCCAGTGCTTCAGCAGACACCTCTAAGTCAAGGGGGAAAAGCTCTAGTAGCTCGAGTAGCTACAGAAAACGACAAAGTACTGGTGCGATCCCAGATAGCGTGGAAGAGAAGAGGCGTAGACAGACCACCAGTGACCCGCAGACATCTCAAGTGGACAGTAATACACCGCACACGCATTCGATTGATTCTTCCAAGGGAGAAGGCAGAATCAGAGGTGAACGAAGAAGTCATGGAGCTGGCTTAGAATCTTATTCAGGTAATTACAGCATCAAACAAAGAGATATGTAATAACCCAAACGCTTTACTATGAGTGCTTTCCATTTGGTGACAAAAAAGTTTATCTTTCTTAACATTTAATGAGAATAAAGATAAAAAACGACTTGTGTCACCAAATGGAAAATATTTTATAATTTCTCTTTTGAATGTAATTCCAATATTGTATCACCTGTGCAATCTTAATTTTTGCTCGTTATTACATGATAAATATAAATGGACTTGTTAATTTTTTTATTACTTTTATTATACTTTAATATTCGAGTTCTTTCAAATTCTTATCTTTATTAACAAATCGATTTATATGATCACATTGCAACAGAAACCGACTGGAGGTCTCATCATAAGATTCACCAAGTCAGTTACAACAGTAGTAGCAGTACAAGAGTGCGTAGTGCAGCAAGAACGAGTCTGCCAGAGTCAAGTTTAACACCTACCGATTGTGTGGCATCGCGAACTCGTTCCCGTACACCACAGAATCCTCAAGCATTGACACAGGGAACTAGCAGTTACGATCTGTCACTGTCCAGTGGATACGGTAGCCGAAAAACAAGTACCTACAGCAGTTTGGTAGCTTCAGCGAGTGCTACATCGATTACTAGTCATCCATCCACATCGAGAGGAAAAGGAGGTTAGTGCACTTTTCTAGCCATTATTGTTGATCGTAGGATTGTGATGTGTGATTTGCGTGAAGATACAATTTTGTTTTGAGATTGTTTACATTACATCTTATAATGACTCTTAAAACTGATATTAAAATTTAAATCAAAACTTTAACAAGTACTTGTATTAACAATTCATGCTATATATATTTTATTAATTATATTAATTATATTTTAT